CCCCAGTGCCTGGGACCCTCAGGATTAGGGAGCATTTCCTGAACAGGCCACCTGTAGGGGAAGCTTTCCTGAGACTGGAGGGTCAGCCACCCCCAAAGCTTAGTCTCCCCCCATAGGCTCTGTGCTGACGAACAAGACTTGAAGTCCAGTTAGAAATAGATGTCCTTGAACCCTGCCCCTGTAGAGAAGGATGTAACAGATTCCCAAGTGGCCTTCAAGTTCAAGAAGGTTGTACTTGCTAAACTACTCTCTGAAACGTTTTGAGAAGCTAGAGAAGGCTGAGGCCTGAACTCCAGGGAGTCCCTGATGGGGATAGTGCCATGGGTCCAGTTCTGCTGTCCCCCGCCCACTTTGACAACTCAGGAGTAGCTGGCAGCTTAATACCTGGGTCTTTAGTAGAAAACTACTGTTCTTCAGCTCGCTGAGACCTGAACAGCCTTCAGCACCACTCTCAGGCCAAGGCAGAGATTTACACTGTGGGAATCCCAGCAAGTCCTCTGAGTCAGGCTGATAAGCTAGAAAGAGCCTATGGAATTTTGCAGTATGGGATAGGGTGACTTTAGGGGTTACCAAACAGAGATTTGTTCAGTCTCCTGGAGGTTACACAGGTTGGAGAAGATATTGTAAAGGGATGTCTGCAGAAACATCCCGCAGCAACCAGGAGGATCAGCAGGGACCTTCCCAGCCACCCAGGCACTGGCTGCTTAGACTGACTGGTCCGCGCTAGGAAGAATTCTGTCCTGCAGGAACTTGGCCAGTGGCTGCCAATGCTGACGGCACCCAGGCCTCATCTGGGTGTGTCTAAAATGTCGCCTGCCGGGCTGCACTCCCAGAGCTTCTTATTGGTCTGGGCATGGGGTTTGGCACACATATTTTTTTTAAACACTCCCTAGACAGACAGAAGCCCTCAATTAAAACAAGGCTTTAGGGCAGGAGATACTCAGGTGATGAGGAAGACAGGACAGTGCAAAGCTGGAGAGGAGGAGGGGTGGACAGATGTGAAGAAATTGTGTTGCCAAGTCTTTCGGGGAGCGAGAGACCCGCCACCACTTAGGAGGTACAAATGTTCACGGAGAATCAAGAAAAGCCAGCGTGCTGGTTGCCGCTGAAAGTACAGACACCTGATTCCACCAGCACCACTTTACTGCGGCTATCACGTCAGTCATGTGGGGACAGTGGGCCATGTCTCCTTCCCTCCCTGGGACAGAAGCCTGGAGTCGCCTGTCCTCACAGTCTCCGCAGTTCTTCTTCTGTACGGGTTCCATTTTCATAAACTAGTGCAGTCGGGTCCCGAGCGCCCTGCGCGTCGTGCGCTCCTAATTCCCACCCTTGCTGTGCTGGATGGAGAGGCGGCTGGGCGTCTTGAGTTTGTGGGCCCCATTTACATCCTGCCAGCTGGAGGCCCTCCCTGTGCTCATTTCTGGTCCGATCGCCTCCCTGTTGGGACACTCGAGATGTGGCAGTAACCGCGAGCAGCCAGCTGAATAAAGCTCCCTCTGTGCGCCGCGTCCCCTCGGCTGGGGCAGCAGGGCGGGGCGCGCCACCTGCGGAGCGGCGTCGGGCACCTGTCCCGGGGATGCTTTTGCCCTTTAGGCCGCATCTGGGTTTCTGCTGGTCACAGTCGCCTCCTCTCCTTGGCTGGCAGCCCCCACCCCCTGCTCCTGCTCCGTGTTTCCCCCTTCCCGGCTTGTCCTCTCTGGTTGTTTTCTGAACCCTTTTGTGAAGTTCACAGACTCAGAAGCTCTGGTTGCTCACCCCGTCCTTTGGTGAGTTACTCTCTGCTGAGTCTCCTCAAGTTTCCTCCCAGCTTCCCGGTGGGATTTCAAGTTTCTCATCCCATTCTCCGGCACCACTTAGGACGTGTGCTCCGTGCGCTCCAGCTCCGCGGGAGGACGCTGCCTCTGAGGACCCGGAGGAATTCAGACCGCAGAGGCGACTGGACCGGGTGCTGTGCATCCTGGGCTCAGATGAACCCCATTCTTCAGTGGGGCTCAGCAGGGCCAAACAGCACTGCTCTGAAATCCGGGGAATGGGCTCGTCTCTGCTCACAGGCCAGGAGGACCCATCCAGTGGGGACTGGGGACTTTGCATAAGGATTCTATCATTTAGTCACGGAGCGAGGCGAGTCACACTCTTACAGGGCTGAGGGACTGCGGATCCCGTCTTGCTGGGTGTGAGCGGAGTCAACGGGAGCCAGGGGGAGCAAGGCTGTGCCCACGGGCATGGGGCGCACCACCCTACACCAGGGTTTTTCAACCTTTTAAATCTCACTGCACACTTGAACCTATAGTTAAACTTCCAAGGCACACTTAAATCATGTTGATCAAAAAAAGAGTATAAAAACAAAACCAACATACTGGGCGGTGCCTGTGGCTCAAAGGAGTAGGGTGCCGGCCCCATATACCGGAGGTGGTGGGTTCAAACCCAGCCCGGCCAAAAACTGCAAAGAACAAAACAAAACAAAACAAACAAACAAAATCAATATACTTATTGTGCTTTGAATTTCTTTCA